AGGAATCCAACTTACAAGGACCTCTTCAAGTAGAACTACAAACCACTGCTCAGTGAAATAAAAGAGGACACAAACAAATGGAAGAACATACCATGCTCATGGATAGGAAGAATCAATATCATGAAAATGGCCACACTGCCCAAGGTAATTTATAGATTCAATGCCATCCCCATCAAGCTACCAATGAGTTTCTTCACAGAATTGGAAAAAACTGCTTTAAAGTTCATATGGAAACAAAAAAGAGCCCGCATTGCCAAGACAATCCTAAGTCAAAAGAACAAAGCTGGAGGCATCACACTACCTGACTTCAAACTATACTACAAGGCTACAGTAACCAAAACAGCATGGTACTGGTACCAAAACAGAGATATAGACCAATGGAACAGAACAGAGTCCTCAGAAATAATACCACACATCTACAGCCATCTGATCTTTGACAAACCTGAGAAAAACAAGAAATGGGGAAAGGATTCCATATTTAATAAATGGTGCTGGGAAAATTGGCTAGCCATAAGTAGAAAGCTGAAACTGGGTCCTTTCCTTACTCCTTATACGAAAATTAATTCAAGATGGATTAGAGACTTAAATGTTAGACCTAATACCATAAAAACCCTAGAAGAAAACCTAGGGAATACCATCCAGGACATAGGCATAGGCAAGGACTTCATGTCTAAAACACCAAAAGCAGTGGCAACAAAAGCCAAAATTGACAAATGGGATCTAATTAAACTAAAGAGCTTCTGCACAGCAAAAGAAACTACCATCAGAGTGAACAGGCAACCTACAGAATGGGAGAAAATTTTTGCAATCTACTCATCTGACAAAGGGCTAATATCCAGAACCTACAAAGAACTCAAACAAATTTACAAGAAAAAAACAAACAACACCATCAAAAAGTGGGCAAAGGATATGAACAGACAGTTCTCAAAAGAAGACATGCATACAGCCAACAGACACATGAGAAAATGCTCATCATCACTGGCCATCAGAGAAATGCAAATCAAAACCACAATGAGACACCATCTCACACCAGTTAGAATGGCAATCATTAAAAAGTTAGGAAACAACAGGTGCTGGAGAGGATGTGGAGAAATAGGAACACTTTTACACTGTTGGTGGGATTGTAAACTAGTTCAACCATTATGGAAAACAGTATGGCGATTCTTCAAAGATCTAGAACTAGAAGTACCATATGACCCAGCCATCCCATTACTGGGTATATACCCAAAGGATTATAAATCATGCTGCTATAAAGACACATGCACACGTATGTTTATTGCGGCACTATTCACAACAGCAAAGACTTGGAATCAACCCAAATGTCCATCAGTGACAGACTGGATTAAGAAAATGTGGCACATATACACCATGGAATACTATGCAGCCATAAAAAAGGATGGGTTTGTGTCCTTTGTAGGGACATGGAAGCAGCTGGAAACCATCATTCTCAGCAAACTATCACAAGAACAGAAAACCAAACATCACATGTTCTCACTCATAGGTGGGAACTGAACAGTGAGATCACTTGGACTCGGGAAGGGGAACATCACACACCGGGGCGTATCATGGGGAGGGAGGAGGGGGGAGGGATTGCATTGGGAGTTATACCTGATGTAAATGACGAGTTGCTGGGTGCTGACGAGTTGATGGGTGCAGCACGCCAACATGGTACAGGTATACATATGTAACCAACCTTCACGTTATGTACATGTACCCTGGAACTTAAAGTAAAATAATAAGAAATTTAAAAAAATTAGGTATTCATCATGTTTTTATATTTAGCATATACGTATGCCCACAAGCAATATAGACTTTATGTAAGGTCTTAAAACTTTGTGTAATTGGATCATACTCTTCACATCCTTTTGCTAATTGATGTTGTTTTTGCTTAATGCATTATATGTTTAAGATTTATCATCGTATTGATGAGTCTAGGGGAAAAATCCATTATTTGGGATAATACTAGAAAAAGCAGAAAAGCGAGTGAAGGAAGGTGATATGAGAGTTCAGACACTGCTACAGAGTGTAGGCAGAACTTCAGTTGCCATCATGTTTGCAAATCAACTGTCATCTTTGCCATTTGTTTGTCCAGAGTTCTTTATTAAGTTTATTCAGAATTTTGTTATGGTACCCAAGTGGAAACCACTTAGATAATGCGATTAATATTATTAAAATTTGCTTTTCATTTAGGGGCCATACATTTTGTAAAGGCTGTTTCTTTTTTAGTTTAAAATTAGGACACTAAAAATCATTTCAAAAATAGTTGAATTTTCTGTGTGTAGGGATAACAAAGTAATACTGGTGAATCTGCTTAACTCTGTTCCTTAGAGTAGGATGAATACTGAATGTTCATCCACCTCTTTTCTTAGATTTCTTTTTTTTCCCTCTCTCTCATCTGTTGTACTCCATCTTAATTAAATACAGTACAGAACTAAAATATCTAATAGCTTGATGTTCCCAGTTCTGAATTTTAATGCAGCATACTTTTATTTCCTTTTTAGTATAAAAATTTTTTGATGAATTTTTACTTAGGAGAGAAATGTCAATTTTAAAACGGGGGATGTCTCTTCTTCTGATTTAAGGCATTTGAAACTACAATAAGGCCTTGAAATTGGCACTTTACATGGTGTTTCACAGAAGACCCCATTCTACAAGGTTGTCCTAAGGCAGATGATTTGCCTGCATCATGGCATCGAATCTTTCATAAAAGCATTCTGCAATGTCTCCATGTCAAAATTATATATAAGTTAAAGTGTCATGTGCAACTCAGGAAGCTTCCCTAAAAAGGAGTGTGTCCTTCCTCACACATCTTGCTTCCTGATGACTGGAATGCAAGCAGATAGTTGGAGCTTGAGTAGTCATTGAGGACCATGAGGTGGTATCCATGTATTGTGTGCAGTGGAGCAACAAGACAAAGAAGCCTGGTGATCATGGAGCTGCCATGCTGCCCTTTATAGTTTGCTTCCAGGCTGCATGGAGTACTTTATGGAGTAGTTTTTCTGAAAAAGTAGACACAAATCTACTTGCTAACCCTATCCTAATGGCAGTACTTACCCATGTATCTGCCCTCATTCCTCCCTCCCCACTAATGGTATAATCACCATTAATCCTTCCTTTTTTTGTTGTTTTTCTTTAGGGTTTTTTAAAGACAGGGTCAGCTCTGTCACCCAGGCTGGAGTACAGTGATGCATTCTTGGCTCACTGCAACCTCTGCTTCCCGGGCTTAAGTGATCCTCCCTCCTTAGCCTCCTGAGTAGCTGGGACCATAGGCATGTGTCACAATCCCTAGCTAATTTTTAATTTTTATTTTGTAGAAATGGGGTTTCACTGTGTTCCCAGGCTGGTCTCGACCTCCTGGGTTGAAGAGATCCACCCACCTTTGCTTCCCACAGTGCTGGGATTACAGTGTGAACCACCGTGCCTGGCAAATCACCATTCGTACTTCTGATTGAACTTCCAATAGACTTCTCACCACAGTCCACTACCTGTTTCCAAGGCTGCAGAATGGTTGTGCCCTGGAATTGGCTCCTTCCTTAGCAGGAAGTACAAGGGTAGGATAGGAAGTTTCTCTAATTAATAAGGACAGTAGTTATTGGTGTCCTGTGGCTACTGTAGAGTCCACTTGGAGAAAGTGATGGTGGAGAGGTAAGAGGACTTTGTGACTCCTTTGCTTGTAGAGTTTTTTTTGTCTTTTTTTTTTTTTTTTTTTTTTTGAGACGGAATCTTGCTCTTGTTGCTCAGGCTGGAGTGCAATGGCGCGATCTTGGCTCACTGCAATGTCTGCCTCCCAGGTTCAAGCGATTCTCCTGCCTCAGCCTCCCAAGTAGCTTGGATTACAGGCATGTGCCACCACAACTGGCTAATTTTTGTATTTTTAGTAAAGACAGTGTTTCTCCATGTTGTTCAGGCTGGTCTCAAACTCCTGACCTCAGGTGATCCATCCACCTTGGCCTCCCCGAAGTGCTGGGATTACAGATGTGAGCCACTGGGCCAGGTTGTAAAGTTTTATTTCTGTTGTGATAATAGGCTGTCTGAACTGATATCCTGAGGGCTAACTGATGGCCATGCCTTAGTCCTCAGTCTTACGGAGTGTTCTCACTTGTGATTCCTTGCTTTCTGGATTCTTAGTTCAGATTCGACTCCCCAGCTCTGGCCAGCCTTTTCACCCCTTAGATTTCTTACTTGCTCCTTATGAAAGGCTAAATGTTTTCCATATTTCAATCTCGATTGACCCAAATACTCAGTGAGTTGCAAACATGGACCATATTATTTAACATCACATAGCCTTTTATTGAAATGCTTTTTTGACATTATGCCATCTGTTTACATTGATGAATGCAATAATAAGTAGCTATATAAAACATAAGCAAATATATTGTCCCATATCACTAACTGACTTTTCAAAGAGAACTCTTGGGAGAAATTTCTCTCAAATCTCCATGCCGAAAAAAAAAAAAAAAAAAAAAAAAAAAAGAGTTGTATTTGTTCTTAGTAATGGAAATGTTTTTAATGCTATGTCTCTGTGACTTCTGTAACTATTAAGTGTCCATTCCTATTTTTATTGCAACAAATGCAACCAAAATTTGTGGTTCATCTATAGCTTACCTGTGATTTTATCTTATTTTTTATCCCAATTTTATAATATCATTTTAACCTCGTGTGTATCTATTAAGTAAGCTGTCTTAAATTCTTTTTAGGAGAATCTATGATAAAACATAATCATAATTTAAAGGCTGCATTATTAATTTCCTGCATTAGAGATTCTAACGTTGTATTAAGTGTTGCCTTTGACATCTATGTCCAACATTAAACCTAACTTCTCCATCGTCTGCAGGAATGTTTGAAGCAATTGTGATCTAAGATATATCAGTTGTTGAGGTTCCATTGAGTGTAAATTCAATCCTATGGATCTGGAAAAGATTATGGGATATAAACAGATAGAACCAAGGGACAGACGCCTGGGAAAAGTGATTAGGCCTGGAGATGTACAAGCAAGATTTTGGAGTTTACACCAAAGGTGATAGCGTTAGCAGTCAGCATAGGAGATGTCTAGGGAGAGGTAAAAACAGAAGAGCACAGCTCTGAAACCAAAGCCTGGGGTAACCTCTCCAGGAAGAGGAGGAGTTTGAAAAGGAGACTGAGACAAAGGGTAGGAGAAAATCAGGGTAGAAGCTGGAGTTACAAAAGCTCAGGCTTACTAGTATCAAAAGTAATGACGACATCTTAATCAATGGGCATAACAACTACGAACTCCTTGGTTTGTTTATTCACTGCTGAATCCTGAGGGTAAGTTTGATAGAATGAGGGAGCAGAATCTAGATGGCAGAAGGTTGGGAGAGAATAGGTAGTGGTCAATGAAATGCAACATAAACCATTCCCTCTGAGTGCTTGTCAGTGTAACATGGGCATGAAATTGGACTGAATCCAGAGGGGAAGCAGGGTCAAGGGTTGTTTTCCATTTTGTTTATTGACTTTTCTTTTTCTCTTTCTCCAACCACAGTGAGAATTAATGATTATAAACTTGGAGAGAAAAATGAGATTCTGAAGTTTGGGATGGAGGGAAATGGTAGAAAAGAATCAGAGAGAGAGAGCCTGGGAAGATGACAGTTTTTTGAAGGCCGAAGTGTCATCTCTTCTGAAAGAAAAGATAGGAATGAATGAAGGTAAAGACAGATATTTTAATGTAAATAGAAGGTGAAATGAAGGAATATAAAAGTGATGGCTCAATATTTTCGAGAAGGTTTTAAGTAATAGTGCGAATAAAGGAGAGAGGTGGGTTAGTCTTGATATAAACAGCCACTGTAGGGTGAGAGGAATCAAAAAGAGTGACAACAAAAAAACCCCAGAAGTGTGGAGAAAGGCAATTCAACAGTTCCAGAAACTCTGATGAAAATGTACCATGTTAAGACATTGCGCTAGGCACAGGATCAGAGAAGATACAATCCCTTTCGTCATGGAAATCACACTTAGTAGGAGAGCAGCTACAAGGGACAGAACCAGTTGACAGTAGATAAAAGTGAAACATTAGCATAGTCACAGGATGATTTTCAACAATGTTTGCCAGACTTAGAACAGGAGGAGAGGATGTTGAGTTGAGGGCTGTGAAGATTCAAGTCAGCTCCTGACCTTATGTCAGTATTAACAAGGGCAGCCTTGATCTTGGTGAACATGATGAGCAGTCCAAGAAAGGAGTACAAAGAATAAGGGCCAGCATTGGTCCTGTGTGGAGGGAGTGAAAATGGGGTCAGGTGAAGAGGTATCACTTCCAACAGGACCATCAAGTTAGACATCTTTTAAGGGATAAGAGGCCCAGAGGTTAAGCCCTGATAGCGGGTCACTGAGACACTGTGGAGGGAAATGGATAAGCCAGGAGTGTTTTGAAGGTGTAATAAGGGCTGCACATGTCATAATGGGATCTAAACAAATAGGAGGTATACAAGGCTCGTGGGAAGTTGGCTCCCCAGAAATCTGAGAGAAACTAAGACATGTAAAGTCCTGCTCACCTATGAAAGTTTCTAAATACAGGAGCTCTGATTCTAAAGTCATCTCCATTTATATTGGTTTACCTTTTTAAGACACTTTGTTGTTTCAGAGCTACCTTGCCATGAAGATTCATTACCTTTTCTCTGCTCTTTTCTTCCTTGGCCTGCTGTCTACCTCAGGTAAGGCTTTAGTAATAGGAAACATTTGAGTGAATGAGAAGCCAGCATGAAATGGCATAAATCACCATCTATTGCCAGTGTTAATTAGTAACTGCTCAATGAACATTTGTTGGATGAATTTTTTTAATGGATGAATTAGTTTCTCCTTCTAGTCTAAAAAATATAATCAAATTTGAAGAATTCCATGATTCCCTTTCTATTTCATGCCAAATTTCTCATCTCAACGCTGGGATAGACTTAGGTTATTTCCAAGAAAGGGAATTTAGAGATTATATCCTCTGCCCTCTCATTTGTTAAATAATGATTTTGAGAGCTTGAGTACAGATCCTCTAACTCCCAGAACACCATGAAAATGGAATATCCACTCTCATCTTTCTCTGCCTGATCGAAGCAAGGTGCAAATAGTGAGTTTGCTGTGAACGTTAAATGTGGTAATTCGTGTCAAGGGATTTTAGGAAATACTTGGCAAATAGAAAGTGCTTAAGAAATGTTAACTAATATTATTATCATTATTACTATTTTCACTTTTTTTTTTTAGTTTTTCTTCTTCAGTAATTTCTTCTTTCAGTTTAGAATATCCTCAAGCAGGATGAGCCTGGAGAAAAACTGTGAAATTATTGGCATTCACCTTTAAAACCATAAAATGATAAGGGCCTGATAGATAACAATCAAAAGAAAGGAATGGTGGACTGGGCACAGTGGCTCATGCCTGTAATTGCAACACTTTGGGAGGCCAAGGTGGGTGGATCATGAGGTCAGGAGTTCCAGACCAGCCTGACCAACATGGTGAAACCCTGTCTCTACTAAAAATACAAAAATTAGCCAGTCGTGGTGGCACGTGCCTGTAATTCCAGCTACTCAGGAGGCTGAGGCAGGAGAATCGCTTGAACCCAGGAGGTGGAGGTTGCAGTGACTTGAGATCATGCTACTATACTCTAGCCTGGGTGACAGAGCGAGAGTTCGTCTCACAAAAAAAAAAGAAACGAATGGTGGAGAGATAATGTAAGGAAGATGAAAAACATTGATGGTATAAAGGAGAGAAGAGGGAGGAGGAGCCAATGATGACACAGAATGAATTTGTGAGGGATTTAGAAAGTTGTGGTGCCATTAATAGAAATGTGAACGCAGGGAAAGGGAGCTGATTGAGATGAAGCCAGTGAAAATGATTTTAGAAATTGTTACCTTGAAGTGACAGGGAGACATCTAACTGGAAATAATGCAGTAGAGATATGAGAGTAGGAAGAAGCTCATGGCTGATGATAAACATTGTGGGATCCTTCCAAAAAAGGATGACAATGAAATTATATGAATAAATTACTACCTCAAGGGCAATTCTCCCTGTCTCCTTTCTCTTTCTCTTGTGCCTGTTCTGGACATGGTAGTGATAAGTGTCTGTATTAGTGGAGGACAAGGGCAACACAGAAAATATTCACTCTCTTTTCTTCCTTTTTTCTCTTCCCTCTTCTCACCCTCCTTACTCTTCTCCCCTCTACCTTTCGATTTTTTTCTTGTTCCTGAACATATAAGGAAGCTTACAAATTACATACAATGCACAGGTTTTTTAAAAGTGAAATAATTAGTAAGATGATTCAGGTAGAGGAAAATCATCTTAGAAAAAAGTAATTCGCAAGAGTGATGATGTTGTTTTCCAAAATGGCCCTGGGTGAAGTCACTCACTGAAAGTGGAAGGTAGTAGAAGCCCTTGACGTGGATTTCAGATAGGAATGGAGTGGTATGGGTTGCCTCCTGAGAAATTGTGCCTAAGATTTACGCCCCAGTGGCCCTCACCTGCCGGCAATGGCAGAATATCCAGCATGCATGATGTTCAGTACTGATCTTCTAGAAAGCCCAGCACGGGGATCTCTCTTGGGATTGTCCAATAATGCTGGACTTATGTAGTCCAAAGGCAGGTCAACTGTTTTCTGCACCAAGTGAGGTGTACCTGCAGAGCCTGTCAGTCCCTTCTGAAATATATTTTTTAATCTGATTAATAACTATTTTGCTACCATGGGCCATTCTCATCAATATTTTCCCACAAAGCTTTATATTTGAAGTCTCTTGCAAGTAAGTATATCCTTGTTTTTGTTCATCTATCTGTTTATTTTTAGGAACTGAAGGTGCTTATGAAGTCATTAGTATCATGGACTGTAAAAATCAAACATTGTGTAATTCTCAGAATACAACTAGACACTGCTCTCATGGGAAGGAGATTGAACTATGTGTCTTGCGTCTTGGAAAAATTGCAAAGCGACTGACTAACCATGAAGAAATAGCAAATTAGGAAGACAGGATGATCAATTTCCTTGTCTTATTAAAAAATAAAGTCTGCTTTCTTTTCTCTCTCCTTTTATTCTCTAGTGACACATTTATTTATTGACAGTTTGGACAAAAGTTTATCAAGGAACTTTTCACGCTTAGGATGAATTACAACAAGAACCAACATTTTCTTAGTTCCAGCAGATGAGAGAATACATGCTTGAGAAACCAGAATAGCTGTCCTGTTTGGATCATAGGGGAAAATTTTGGGAAGTGTGAAGTAGGGGAGGGAAGAATCTGGGGTGACAATTATAGTGTGACATACACTGACAAGGGCAGATGTGAAAAGAGATTATCAGGTTTTACTGTCTATTACAAATGGAGTTTTCCCTCAGTGTTTTGCAGGAGATTTTGGTAAAGACTTAATTAGCTTTAAAATTTTTATTTTTCATTAAAATATTTGATTGTAACATTTTAGCACTTGCATTACTAAAGTGAATACTTCGTCCAGCTTTACAAGCCAAATACACTCCACCCAGACCAGACCGGAAAAGGTAGGAAAGTGATTCTTGAAGCCTGGGACTCCTTTCCATTGTTCCTGGCTTCTATGATGCCTATGATACCTGCAGCCCAGTACCTTTCCTCCACAGTTCCCTGATTCCACTATGCTAGCTTCCCTCTGAAACCACTGTGTTAAATTTTTAGGAAAATATGGGATGATGGAACAATTCTAATTTTGGTAGAAAAGACCGCCTACCCATGCAGTAGTATCTGTATTATTTTTTCTTTCTTTCTTTTTTTTTTTTTTTTGAGATGGAGTTTCACTCTTGTCGCCCATCTTGGCCACACCATCTTGGGTCTCACCATCTTGGCCAGGCTGGTCTGGAACTCCTGGCCTCAGGTGATTCACCGGCCTCCGCCTCCCAAAGTGCTGGGATTACAGGCGTGAGCCACCGCGCCCGGCCTGCATTTTAAATAGGAAGCTTATTGCTGGTAGGTGAATTTCAGACTACATAACTAAAGAATTTAAGGCAAATATAGGAGGATCAGTCAGGATTCTGGCTGGAAACTGATGAGACATTGGAAGAAGTTCACAATGTAAGGGTGGGGCTCCGGCACTGAAGGAGGGGTCTGGAAGCACCGGGGGCAGGAGCAATGAAGGGAAGAAAGGCTTCAACTGACTCCTCGACCTGAAGGCCCACAGCCGGGAACACCAGCAAGGAGAACACAAGAGAACGCACGGGAAAAACATAAGTCAAAACCAATGGTTTGTCTTTTATTATTATTAAGAGGATGGAGGAGCAGCAGTAAGGTTTATCAACGGAAATATTCGTACTGATGAGCATAGAGGAAGAGGTTTTGTTTGCCTGTTTAAGAATTCAGGGTGGCAGCAGTAGGCTCTGCCTTTGGGGTCGAGGTGGCCAGTTAGAAGGGCATTGTACTTTCCCTGGGTCCCGTCCCTCCCCAGGTAGCTGGGTCCCTTTGTGATGCTGATGAAAACGCCTAGGAGGGAGATATGACAATGACTCGCTCCTACCCCCTACCCCAATCCTTTCCACCCCAGAGTAGGCGGCTTCCCGCTCCTCGTCTTGGGACCTAACCCCAGGAAGTCAGATGTCCTTGTCCAGCAGGTCGCCTGGCTCGAGGCAGATGACGAAGCGGTCCAGGCACAGCCAGCTGCAGGGAGCGGCCTTGGCGGTGCTGCTCGTGGCTCTGGTCAGTGAGCGCACGCACTTCCGGACTAAGGTAATCCGCGCGGAGGAGACCCAGCTCCCAGGAGGCCATCCCAGTTCCCACAAAGCCCTCCCTGACCTTTAGATCTGGAAATTGTAGCCCCAGTTCCCGGTCCCAACGTCATGTGCTTTTTAAAAGGTGCAAAGGTGCATGAAAAACGTAGACTGTAGTATTGATGCTTCTCATGCTATAAATGCATTTCCTGTTTCTGTACTCAGTAATCCCTCCCCTCACAAATACCTAGGGCTGGTTGGTCTAGTTTTCCAATTCTCCCAGTCTCAGGCTTGCTCTCAGATTCATTCTCCTTGCTTCCACCAGGGAGATGGAGAGAGGGAAGAGGGGAGGAAGGAGGGTGAAGTGGAGGGTGAGAAGAAGAGGGGAAGAGAGATGATTCTATGGCTTATCTATTTGTGTGTGTGTGGAAGCGGGGGGACTGAATTTTAATTCATGTGTTTATGGATATGTGAACCCAAGCAAATAAATGAAAACCAGTAACAACAGCAATAACAGAAACAACCAGGCAAAATGATTATCATAACACTTGCACTGCTCGCTTAATTGCCTATGTGAGATAGGAACTATTAGTATCACCTGCGTACTGATGAAGAAACTGTGGCACCTGAGAGGTTGAATAACCTTCTTGGGATCATGCAGGTTGTAAAGGGTGATGCTGGGATTCAAATCCAAGCACGTAAGAAAGCAACCAGATACAAACTTGAGGCAACCTATCAAGACAAATGCTGGGGCAGGCTTACAGCAGGCAATATCAACAAGCTTGACTGAATGAAAATTGGGAGTTCTTTAATTTCCATAGAAGTAGATGTGTTGCCTTTTAAGTGAAGTGGTAGTGTTACCGGAAAGGGGTCCCGATCCTGACCCCTTTCCACTTACTTCTTGGATCTCACTCAAGAAAGAATTTGGGACGAATTCATAAAGTGAAAGCAAGTTTATTAAGAGAGTAAGTAAATAAAATAATGGTTACTTCATAGTCATAGCAGCACTGAGGGCTGCTGGTTGGCTATTTTTATGGTTATTTCTTTATTATATCTAAATAAGGTGTGTATTATTCACGAATTTTCAGGTAAAGGGATGGGCTGTTTCCAGAACTGAGGGTCTGTCCCCTTTTTAGATAGGATAACTCTTGAACGTTGCCATGGCATTTGTAAACTGTCATGGCGCTGGTGGGAGTGTCTTTTAGCTAATGCCATATAATTGGCGTATAATAAGCAGTGAGGACGACCAGAGGTCACCATCTTGATTTTGGTGGGTTTTGACTGGCTTCTTTACTGCATCATGTTTTACCAGCAGGGTCTTTGTGACTCGTATCTTGTGATTCAAGTCCTGCTGACCTCCTGTCTCATCCTGTAACTAAGAATACCTAACCTCCTGGGAATGCAGCCCAGTAGGTCTCAGCTTTATTTTACTCAACCCCTATTAGAGATGGAGTTGTTCTGGTTCAAATGCCTCTGACAGTAGGGAGCAGGAAATAACAGGAATTGAAGATAATTTACAAAACAGGAGCCAATTTTAAAACACAGTCCCTATTTACAAATATGCTTTCAGTTTATATCTCCAATGGACTCAGTTAGAAATACAGATGTTTTGTGAGAGACTGCAATTCTTTTAAGAAAAGTATATGCATTACTATTAGAAAGACATCAGTTGGAATGAATCTGGATCTAACCACATTAAGATAAGACAGCGATGCCAAAAGGCTTTGAACTTAATTGTGATACATTCAGTAGTGTGATGCTTTATTCTTGGGGTTAACAAACCAGAAAATAGAGTGCATGTCAATATATTTACCTGTGAATTTATACTAATTGGTTGACCAAAATATATGTTAGACAATGCTTGCTTATATTACAAGCAATGTTAAGAACATTAATAAAATGGATTTGAAATTCTCAGCTTAAAAAGCAAACAAAAAATGAAAAAAAATCACCATTTTCGAGTTCCCATCTCCCTGAGCTGCATCCTGGAAGTCCCTGCCAGCTGAAAGATTTCTGAGAGACTCTACCAGAACTAATTAGCTAAGCAGTCTTGGGACCTCCCCACACAGCCAAGGAAACAGTTATTGGAATCTTTGCTCTTTGAAAATCTTTGTTCTCTGAAAACAAGTAGCCATACTTTGATGTCAACTTAATTCAGAGAGTTTACTGGATAAATTCACTGTATTTTCTGCATGGTCTCAGTTTAAACACAAATCTGTATTTGAGAATCTCTTGGTCTCACTTACGTAGCAATACCGTTTATGCTTCCATAATATAAATTATTTCATATAGTTGCCTGAGATAATGGGATAATGTTTTACCGATCAAATTGACAAAGATCATATTTAGTGCCAGTTTCTAAAATCACATCAATATGAATCAGGATACTTTAAATGCTCTTAATTTTTTTCACCATCTAAATAGATTTAATTAGTAAAAAATCACCTTTTTTAGTCACATGGTCTCATATGTAGCATCATGGCTGCAATGGTAGTGCAAGTCTGGGAACAAAGAACTTTGAAAGGCTCCAGTGGTAGCCATGGGATCAATTCTTTAAATGATATAATTTTATTAGTAAAGATGTCACCTTTACTATAAAAAACTCAGTTCTTTTCAATAACTAGGCAGAAGAGATGCAGTGATATAGATAAGCCGTATGAGCTATATCTATCTACATATATTACATATGTTACAAACGGTATAATTCCACTGCTAGTATTATACAAGAAGTCATTAGAAATATGGAAGAGATTAAGGTATATTTGTTATATTTTTTCCCTTTTAGTTGAAATTCTCTCGTATATGACCATATATGTTGTAGTTCCTCACTCTTCTCATTCTCTTTTTTTTTCCTGAAGCTCCTTCATCTTGCCTATAACGTCAGTTATTTTCTGTCTATAAAGACTTGCAAATTTACCTCTCCTCTCAGGGCACAGCCAAGTAACTAAATTGATACTTCTACTTGGGTGTCTCAAAGACATTTCAAATTCAGTAGCCCAAAATTGAACTTAGGTTTTTCTATCTGGTCTGCTTCCAAGTTCCTATAAGGAAACAATGTCATTCCTATACTAAAGTTACTTAGTGACCTCCCATAGCTCTTAAAATAAGGCTCTGCCATGGTAATTATAAGGGTGACTATCAAATTCTAGAAATTAATACGACCAAGCCAGGTAATTTGTTAAATGTCTTCCTTTAGGTTGTTAAATACCATACTAAACTGCTAGACATTCTAAACCAAGTAGAAATACACCAGATATCTGACCCCACCATTCTTTTAGCTCAATTGGTAATTTTTAACTTTCTTTCCAAAGAAACTTATTATGGGTAGTAAAAAGGTGATCCTAAAATGCAGCTGAGTTTCTGGAATGAAAAGCACAAAATGTATAATGATTTTCATATTGAGTTTTATCAACAGTTATTATCCTAAGAAATATTTTCTCGTGGATATAAGGTAGAGTTCTTTTGTCTGTAACTCAGGAAAACCACTGGTACAGGATCAGAAATAGATGGGTTATTTAATTAGCATTCCTTAAATCATTTGTGCAGCATTATTCTCTTGGACTCACCTTTGCAAAGAATTGAACAAAATAGAAACCAAAGAAGTAGACAGAAAATAAACCAGTCCACTCTGCTCAAAGAGCACACAGTCTTATGAAGATGGTGAACATGAAGTCAACTCTGTAGTGTTGAGAGCACTGGTTCTCCAGAGCAGCACTTCTCATCAGGGGCTGCACATTAGACTCACCTCAACACAAGTTCAGATGCCCAGGCTGTACTTCAGAATCTCTGGAGGTATGACACACAATGAGCATATTGTGATCACCCAGACTGGAGTGCAGTGGCGTGATCTTAGCTCACTGCAACCTCCACCTCCTGGGCTCAAGTGATTCTCCAGCCTCAGCCTCCTGAGTAGCTGGGATTACAGACACATGCCACCACACCCAGTTAATTTTTGTATTTTTTAGTAGAGACGGGGTTTCGCCATGTTCGCCAGACTGGTCTCAAACTCCTGACCTCAGGTGATCTGCCCACCTTGGCCTCCCAGTGTGCTGGGATAACAGGCGTGAGTCACTGTGCCTGGCCCACAATGTGCATTTTTAAAAGCTCCCCAGTTGATTACAGTGAGCAGTAAAGTTGGAGAATTAAGTATGAATGCATCACTTTGTTAATGAATTTCTTT